GACGTGCAGCTGTATCGAACCATGGAGGCATCGCCTTTTTAGCCTTACTTGTAGAAAAGGGGCTAAGAGTTAGAGACAACTCAGACAGGTAGAACTTGAAGTAATCCCAAGCAGTCTGCAAGTCATCGTCGGCAGTGGTGATGTAGGGCGAAGTCATGACCTCATTTCTAATCGCCGGGAAATCCACTCGCCATATATTCGAACTAGGCATGTTTTCAACAGTATAGCGCTTGAAGTGGGCACACTTGAATGACAAACAGACGCTATCGCTAGCTCACAGAGGCGATTCATAAGTAGGTTCACTTATAAAATCTAGAGACTTAGCGAAGCTTAGATCTAGGAGGGACGGGGCTTTACCTTCCATGAACCTAGTAGGCTGATCAACGAACTGGTGGAAGGGTACCAGCAACGTTAGATCGAGAAGAGCAGTGGCCAGCCACCAGATACTGAGTGACACGCAAAGGTATACCAGTCTATCTCCTGGAGGTTAGGCACCCGCTAGTTGACTGACCGCGAAGGAAGTCAGTGAGCCCATTCGAAATGCTGTCGGAAGCCCTATGTACTAACAAAATGGTGCGCTGCTTGGAGCTACGCACTGCAACCCAAAGGGCTTCTGTAGCCCCATCCGATGAATGAAACGTGTAAATTTTGGAAATAATTAAGGTAGGTTTGAGGTAAAGTGTTACCCCACCAACACGACGGTTGAATGCAAACTCAGCTCTCAGTAATGCGTGGTCTGGTAAGCTTACCTCACGGTCCATAACATCGGATGACACCCACGTTTCGGTGAATGCAAGGACGTCAGGTCGAGAGTGGTCCACAAGAGCGTCGACCTCACACATCTGGTTTCACAAGCTACGCTCATTACTACCTGAAGGTTATCAGTATAGTGTGCCCTGGAACGTGAGCTACCAGAACTGGTTTTGGCAGGATAGTAGTGGACCGCCGACTCATCACCCAAAAACCCACCAACTGAAGACCATTCTGCCCGGCGTCACGGCGCGTTGTTGATAGCCTCCTTGAGCTACAGTCTTTCTGCCAAAGGAAGGTCCGGCTGTACACTGAGCCTAGCACCCTTGCGTCTGAAAGCAAAGCACAGGAGTGCCTGGCGCCCGTCTGGAGTAGAAAGAACAATGCACAAAAGACTAGGTCGGAGGTTCACCTTGCCAAGTTGTACATTGCCAAATCTTATGGGTTTTCTAACTGTTACCCTCGGAGGAACCCGGGTGGCAGTAAGTTAGAAACACAGAGTCTAAAAATGGGAGATCCACCATTGTACGCTCCTTCGGAAGCGTAACAGTGGGTTTAGATACGCCCCTAAACATGAGACTACAGTCGGTGAAGAAGTCGTCGCGACGAGGAGTATTTACTGTTCGTGTCACTGAAATGGATGGGCGCACGTCCGCAGTGGGTTTTGCTTCTTTGGGCGCACAAGTCAATGGCTGAAGCGGCGAAACATTGGGACTTGCAGTCAAAGAAGCTGGCTGAGTATCACATGTCGGACTGACTTTGGGTGAAGACGGTACGATTGTTTAACCCTCATTCGCCTTCTTTTGGTAGGTGCAGGTGATTGCACTTCTACTTCACAAAGGGCGGGGTTCAAACACAATCTGAGTGGTCTTCACAAACGGAAGAAACCCTTACAGTGACTATTATTTGAGTCGAACTCAGTGAGCCTGCTGCATTACAAGAAAATGCAATAGTCTCTTGACTGAGTGGTCTCAAGATTCCAAAGCTAGTCGCAAGTTTTTCGACTTCCCGATCCAACGAACGTAACAACGACGATAGAGATTCTAGGTTCTAACCTGGAAATTAGTGTTGCAAAATCGCCTGCTGCGCACGGACACCGATGCCTTCTACCCTTACAGTCGAAGCAGCTATAAAGCACATGTTCATGCGGAGCCACAAGTGCGTATTGCTCTGGTAGTAAACCAGTATATGGTTCATGAGACCATCTATGATAAATATCGCACTGCATTCCGGTAACAGACTCTAGGCACCCCACCTTACCGCATGACACTGCCGAATCAGATGAATCAACGGACGCTTTCCTTTTGCCAGTCTTACAATAATGAGACAAGGAACAAGGAAAACGAACAGCTTAATAAAGGGGTAAGACAATTGTGAACCGGTTTGCGGAAATCGACCAGGCAATCAACGCGAGTACGGTCATCTAATACCGTTGGAAATAAACGGGTATTGATGACAACTCACGAAGTTGTAACAGGTGGATATGCACAAGGAAAAGCTGCAATTCTCACTTCTTCATAGAGGAGGCCATTCCGATTTACGCAGGATCCCAGCAAGAATCCGGCTTCAAAAACCTCACAATATCTTCTAAACCTGATATACCGGGCACTTCCAAGCGAGTTTGAATCACAAGAAGGCTGACAAAGTCCATCTTTTTTGTTCAACCTTATTCAACACCGTTTCTACAGAAAGCGTCCGAGAAATAAAGCTCAAACAGAGAGGTACGACTATCACGCAGTGATAAAAGAAGACTTACAAAAGGGAGTACGAGTATGTTACGACTTTCCAGTCCTTTTGGATCACAAAAAACTGACAAAAACCAAATTTGCTGTTCAGTGTTACTCAAATACTAGTCCCAAATAAGGATTCCAGAAAAAAACGCTCGGACGGTAAAACACGACAAGCACGCAGTGGTCATGAACGCAGAAAAATTTTTCTGAATACACTGCACCACTATGACCCTTTTCGAAGTTATTACATCTCAGCGGATAGAGTTAGCTGGCATCAAACCCGGGACCCTAGAGATGATATTTGTGACCGCTACCCCTAAGTCACTGGATCACATGGTAAGACCCTGTCCTGATTGTTCCCATCGAAAAGTGTACCAACACACGCTATGGCATGACGTCATTCCATAGATTGTTTCTACCACTTTAAACTTCCACCTATCCCCCAGTTTACTATCTTCAGTCAAATAGCGTTCCACTATCTCCAGTCCGTTATTTTTGGTCGGCTGTTGAAGAGCGCAATGACGTCGAACCTGGCCATCATTTCATCTGATTCGTTTAAATAAATAATGAACAAATAAAAGGTTTACTCCTCAACGTTACGAGGCACACTCCAACTGAGTGGCCTGATCAACCTGTGCAAGATGGCATAAAATAATTAATTGTGCTTGTTTTTTATAACGCACTTACAATATTTTTTTTACAAATATATTAGTTCGCTTTCTCAACGGCGGTAACAGAATAGCAATTGCATGCAGCCAAGTGAATACAAACTATCGCTAACCCGTTAACCGTTTCACAATTGGTGCAGCGCCCTCCGGCAAAGGTTGCCGCGGTACATCGCGCATTGCAGTGTATATGCCGGTGATCATCATCCAAGCCGAAGTTGCTTTACACACAACAGCAGTTACCAGGTAGTTCGGACACATCTACCGTTATCACAAGTTGTGCTGCTCCCAGTGCCCAATGATGTTGCGTGGGGAAAAACCACGTACACATAATATTTCACATAGATGAGCAAGTGCGTTCTCTTAGCGAATGCACTGGTAACCATGACACAACTACATACCATATTCCCCAGCTGCAAACTCAGACGAACGAAGGCACAGTACGGTCTGTACACAAATGCTCCCTCGGGCGCCCTCTCAAGCCACTCGCTCTCACTAGCTCAAATTCTATACAAGCCGAGCCAACACAGCGGTGCATGGACAACACTCATGTCATTCTCCCGACCGGCTGGGCCATTTTCCGTCAGTTAGAGGTATATGGACAAGTACTCAACACCGTTTTGTGCTAGTGGCGTGGACACACCGCGAGCATATGTAAGCTCATATGCATAGGTGTCTATGGTAGCCCTAACTACCACCCACACTCGGCTATACATAGGCACACCTAACACAGGTCGTGCGACGTGCTTGACGGATAAGATAGTGTAGTTGATCGTTGCGAGTTTCAGTGGGAAAAGTGACTAGACAAACCCCAGTACGCATTATGGATCTGGGCCACACCCCAAATGCCGCAGCTGGGTTTGAGTTTAAGAGCCACGTAGCATTCCATGTACACGTCTGTTATGCTTTTGGCTGATTTTGGATTCGTCACTCAACGAACAGCGGATTTTTAGGGGCGTTCGCGCCGTTGGTTACAATTTGGGAACTAACACATTACCACCAGGACCACCATTTATGCCCTTTTGCTTCGCACCACCTAATGATGAACATCTCATCCCAGTTATTGGTAGCTGCATGATCAACAAGTATCCAATGTAGGCTGACACATCATATCGACCTCTCATGATAGCGCGTGAATCACTTTCCATTTTCGAGAGCAAACAATACCATCGCTCGGCTACCAGACCATGCTGCCCTTAACAAAGGGTGCGAGAATGCTAAATACATTGCTTCCCTGTGTTTGTCTGAACCAAACCAGCATAGGCATATTATAGTCACTTTTAATGATGCGGAATGTGTTTAACGATGGAGACAAGCAAAATCAGATAGGAGAGGGAACCTATGCACATCACGCTTTTGATATAATAGTGCCAGTTCGTTTAGTTCGGAACTCCTTCTTGTAGTGACTCAGTGGAAAGTGGGGATTTGGTGGTGGATGACGAATCGTAGGTAGCACACTCGCGGTTGGTGGAAAACACTGCAACTACAGGCGTGATGAACTAACCAGTTGCGTTGGTCCTTGCTAAGTTGACAGAACGTTGCCAGGTTTGAATCAGATTCAGATACAGAAGGCTACCTGGAGTCTAACAAATAAGTGTTCTTTAATGTGGACTAAAGAAAAGGAATTATGGACAGATGGCTGGCTTCAGCCAGGTTTCATCACCTTAGGTGCGGATTGGCTGTAGCCGTCATGTACCGGTAAGTGATGCAAATGTACCCATAAACCACGACCAGGCATCTGACAGTGACATGCATGCAGCCATAAAATGCGAGGCAAATTGTTAGGTCAATCTATACTAAAGACAATCAGTTATTATATTTCCTCGATGACGAGGCATATATCAGTTAATCTCACCTGTCATTCTTGGACTCTTGAGGTCAGTGACCAACTTTCCGTTTGCAATGTTGTCAGCATCCAGCTTGTAAGTGTCCTGTAAACGAAGCAGTGCTTCAGCAGCCCCACTTAAATCTGAATCCCCGGGAAGCAACGGCGCACTCTCTTCCACTCGAGCACGTAATTTCGCCAACTCATGCTTGTCCACTGACAATGATTTGTCATCATCAACCTCTTTCGGGCTGTCTAGTAACGACAACAAATCCGTTTTCCAATTGACAGCCAAGCGACGTACAGTGAGGTACGCATTCACGGGGTTTGAAAAAAAATCTTCGGGTGAGTTCAGTAGCTCCGGCGTGATTCCGTCCAGTGCAAGCCGCTGGGCTACTTTACGAATCCTCTCCAGCCGGGTTTGTTCCAAGTCCACGTAAACCAGTAGATCCGAAGCCAGCTGTTTACCAACCTGCAAGGCTCGGTTTATTTCAGTTGTAGCACTGAAATACTCAGCTTCCGCTCGGACAAAGGCGATCGTAGTACATAAGGCTATGTAAATGAGGATATGCATGGATGCACAATGTGTTCTCGGAGACAACTAACTCAGCCTTCTTACAATTAGGACCAAAATTTTCGCCTCGCTTTACTGATCAAGTGCGACAGAGATAACTGTTAGTAGATAGACTGACAGGCGGGGCTGGGGCAAGGGATGACGTATGGCCAAATGCGGCTAATATCCAATCCATGCCTAGGGTGGCCAGCAGCTTTCGATCGATGGAGCGAATGTGCAGCCAACGACCAGGTGAAAGCAGAATGTGAAAGAAAGGTGCTATCCTTCGACCTGTACGGGGCCAACAAAGGTTGGTGTACGTCTGACGATTAGCTGCATGGTAGCCTAAGCGAAACGCATTTCCACACACAAAGGGGTATCTGGTGTTAGGCTTGTGGACCACGGAGACAACTGTGCATCCACAAATATTTAATCACCAATAGATGTGCTGTAATCTCTCGTTATGACATACTACTCTCATACTCGTCTCCATTTACTCAGTTTTTCTTCCACCTGCAAGAAAGGGCAAATTGTCAAGGCTCAACATTTGTCTTTCTAAACCTATTAAAATTGGGATCAGCAACACGGACTAACAAGGAAGGTTCATTTGCAATTTCACACAGGCAGCTGTTCTGATTAACCTGACTTATTGTGTGGTTCTTCCCCTTACTCCCCCATAAGGAATGGCTTTCTTTTGATGCGGTCCCTGAACCCACTAACGTTCCAGGTTATTTGTTGTATGCTTATTTGTGCAGTTACCGAATGTAGATTACTCGACACCAAAGTAAAAGCGTCATATTGCTCATAAAGATCTAGATTTGACTTCCAGGTTTACGAGACCGTAGTCTGTGACCCCGTTTTGTTAAGATACCAGGCTAAATTATACGTGTCAACACATTCCTAACGCGACTTATTTTCTCACTGTTTCGGTAACATTTGAAAGTCACGGATATTCATAAAGTCGCTTGAGGCTAGGACTAACCTGTGTCGCCGTCCTCTGCCTTTAACTATATGTGGTGCAATAGATTGTGCTAGCCTATACAACAGATATCTCGACGGTTGCTTTGGGCATGACCTGATGATAACAAGATGCATACGAATAGTTTGACCAATAAAATCATTCAGTAATGATCTGTGAGCACCGAATCGGCTGACAGAGGGTGCTATAATCGTGCACATTATCAGCCTCACTCGCTAAAAGTAAAAGCCTTCTTTTTTGAGGTATTTAATGCACTTCTATTTGGCGTGTTGTTAGTAGAAGCTACAGTCATTTAGAAGTTAAGAATCTAGAGAACAGGCAGGGGACAACTGAATGGACTTCGGATACTACAAGTGGATAGCTCGCAAAGACAAACTTTACAGAAACACCGGTGCGGTATGTCATTTGAATCTACTTCGAGCATTTCTGTGGTCAATGAACAATGAACAATGACATATTACAGGTAAAAAAGCGATTACTTTGCAAGTCCCGTAGGATGGTTGAAGTAAAGTAAACATAAGTGTAAATCGTCAGTTTAAGCGTCTAGTGAATTCAAGTGCCCCTTATTCATATAAACGTTGTAGAATGTGTACTGAATTGTTACTGTAGAGTAATATAGGAAGTAATTTAGGTAAGGCAAATCTTAAGGACAAGAGAAACGACCAACGCTTATTCGTGCGCCGCTTTCTTGGACTGGGGTAAATTGATGAATGCAGTTGTAATATATCCGAAACTATATTCCACAACAGCAGTGTGTAAATAGTGAGGCACAAAAGCTGAGAATGAGCACCGTTTTTTCGCGTTTGTTTGACGTGGACATCTCTGATTATATAGCGTAATGTAGGTGGATAAGCGAATCATCCAGACGTCTTTTGAATACCGTTAGCGTGGGGGAAGAAACAACGTATGTGGGAAGAGCGTTCCCGTGTTCGCATACACGAAGGGAAAAGAAATTCCGGCGGCATTCCAACCGGCTGTATTGTGTGGCCAGCTTTAGCTGGTGTCCTCTGAGTGTTGTATTGCTATTCAGCTTTAGTAGGTGACAACAACAATGATTTGGATTCCTCAGGATCATATAAGTCATTATCAAGTCGCCACGCAGGCGTTGATATTGTGCACTGTAGACCCCGAGGGCTTTCAGCCTCAATCGGTAAGGGAAATGAAGCGGGCCCTTTACGTTCTTGGTCGCCCTTCGTTGTGACAGTTCAACAGCGGTAAGGTATTGCTTTTGCCATGGCTGCCAGGCGTTGATGACATACTCAGAATGAGGCCGAATGTAGGCGTTGAGCATCTGAGAAAAGATGGAAGGATCGAAGCGCCCGAATGCCCTCCGCAAAAGGCCAAAGTGTTGGTTAGCTTTTTTAGAGGCTTTCTCGGCCTGCCGGGAACAGTCCAGATCTTCCTGCACTACCACTTCTAGATCGCAGTCGGTTGTAGTGCGCTGCAATATTTGATCCCCCAGTCTGTATTCGCAAGTGACTTTATGGCGTATGCTCAACACCTTGCAGTTTGTAGCGTTGAACTGAAGCAGGTTCTGAGTCGACCATTCGCAGACCCTGTCCAGATCATTCTGAAGTGCTGCATTGTCGCTGGTTGTTCTAATGGCTCGCCATATCTCGAGATCATCAGCGAAGAGTAAGGAGTTGGAGTTAATTACTGTCGCGAGATTGTTTATGTAGATCAGGAATAGTCGTGGACCAAGTACTGAGCCCTGGGGCACTCCGCACTTAACGTCGATTGGGTCAGAGATGACGCCGCGAACACTTACATTCAGATGTCGTTGAAACAAGAAGTTACCTATCTAACCGAGGATTGGGTCACCAATTCCACAACACTGCAGCTTGTGAAGGACGATATGGTGGTTCAGACGGTCGAAAGCCTTTGAGAAGTCCAGATATACTGCGTCAACACCTACGTCGCTGTCAACGGTCTCAGTCCATCTGGATCTAGCCAGTAGCAAAATTGAAGTGCAAAATCGGTTCTTGCGATACCCATGTTGTTCTTGTGCTATGGTATTGTGTTCTTTCAAAAAGTTCATCAGCGCTTCGGCAACAATCGCTTCCATGATTTTGGAGATCACCGGAAGTAGTGCTATCGGGCGGTAGTTGCCCGGATTTGTACGACTTCCTCCCTTATGGATGGGAGTGACGATGCCTTGCTTCCGCATCGTTGGCACGCGCATCTCATCGAGGCATTGTTGGAAGAACTTACAGAGGGGGTCCTCCAGGTTTACTGCAACCAATTTCAACGCTTTTGGACGAACATTACCAACACCGGGAGAGGTATGCTCGCGCAGGGCAATTAATCTTTTCATAACATCCGCAGTCGTAAAAGTGATGTGGCTAAGTCCTGGTGGTGGTACAACGATTGGGAACAGTGTATGCGGCGATGTCGTGCACTGCAAGTTCGGGGTGAATTGTTGACATAGGACGTTTGCCGCCTCGGTTGCGTTTTGTGCAAGTCCACACAATGTGTGTAAAGCAGGAATTCCTCGCTGCACTTTGCGGAGCTTGTTAACGTGTCGGTACAGGAGCTTGGGGTTTGAACGGAATTTCTCGGCTAAATTCTGTTGGTGCTGTATTTTATCTTCGCGTGCCAGGTTTACGCAGTGATTCCTTTGGATAGTGTAGGCTTCCCATGCTTCGGCAGTCGATGAATCCTTGTATCTTCGCCAGAGTAAATTCTTCGTGACAATACACTTGCGTATCCTGCCGCGTATGAATGATTTTACTATCTTCTCTCGCGAAGGATTTTTCCTAGAAGCACTAGTTACTAACGTGTTGAATTGGTGAGCAAATTCAGACCAGGCGACATCGGGGATCGTTCTGCTAGAAATGTCCAGTTTGTAGCATTTATAAGTTTGATTAGAGTGCCGTAATCCGTAATGTGCTGACATTCCTCGGTGTTTTCTGAGGAATACTCTGCATAACAGATGTACTTGAACTTGAGGGTTACATGGTCGCTATCGATACCGCTTCGATCATAAGCTCTTCATTGGTGACACCCGGTTTGTTTCCCGTCCTGAATCTTGTGGGAGATGTGATGTGATTGTAGAGTGGTAGCCCACTGATTATCTCCTGTACTTCCATTTTGAAGTGTTCGTTGATACAGGCTGGGGTTTCTATGGTATGAATATTGAAGTCGCCAACCAGGAGAATGTGGCTGTACGACTGCGAGAGAATGGTCTTCATTGTGGAGGCTAAGTGGTTGTCCATTTCCAAAGTAGCCGACAGAGGGCGATACACCACACCCAACAAACAAGCGTTCCCACGGCTAAGTTAAAGACGACACCAAAGGGCATCGACAATCTGAACCTCTGGGTCATCGATGAGATCAATGTGTAGTTCGCTGCGATAATAAAGTAGTATTCCACCTCCTCTACTTGGTCGATCGTTGCGTAGAATAGACACCCCAGGTAGTGCGATTTCTGAATCAGTGATTGCTTCATTCAACCAGGTCTCGGTTATCATAACGAGGTCCCTTGACATCGAGGCATGACCCAGGCGAAACTCCGTCAGTTTGCTTAAAAGACGTTGTGCGTTGGTATAAAAACAGGCGAATGATTCATAGGTTAGAAGGTTATTTGTGGATGCAGCCAACAGGTTTGAGACTTGGCGACCCTCATGAGGTCGGCTGCTACTAGGTTTTTGGAATTGTCTTAGGCTCGCGAAAAGGACTTGTGATAACTCTTTGCACCGTGTGATCAAGTTCATGACGATCCTGATGGTCACTCACCTCCTGCAGTGTCTCGCCGGCAGTCAGATCAGTCTGTGTGGTGGACTCTGCAACAACGGTTGTTCCCACTGAGTTGGTTCTCTCTAGTGGGTAACCAGTAGCCTCTGGTCGAAAACTTGCTGTTTTTATTCGAATTTCTGTTGGTAGCATATTCCGGAATTTACCCCACTTCTCTAGAACTGTCTGTAAAGTTAGCTCAGACGGTAAGACCAACTTCAGCAACCTAGGACAACACCCTTTGTAATTTGGTGACACGGGAATCCTGGTCAGGGAGGTAGCAATGATATTTTCCAAAGACAGCGCCTCACGAATGTATCGCCATTGTTCCAGGTCATGTGCCTGAGCTTCTTCAGGAGGTGAAGCTTGAGACTCGGGGACGCCAT